CAAAAAAAAAAAAAAAACTCATGCTAGACGTGTGTGCACGTGTGCTCAGAATCCTGAGAGGAGAATGGAGAAGGGATTTCAGTGTGACCACCCCTCCTGAGGGGTGATTTCTTACTTTCTGTCTCTCTCTGGTGAGCGTATGTGCCCTATAGCAAAAATCTCTCTAAAAAAAATAATAATAATTGAACTTTGAAAATAAAATGGGTACTGATTGTATCTTCAGACCAGAGATCCCAGTCCATTTACCACTCTTGAAAAATTCTCACCAAAAAAAGAAAGATCTTTTTTCTGCAGTTTAAACAACAGTAAGTAAATTAAAAAAAAAAAAAAAAAAAAAAAAAAAACAATAAGAAGAAACCAGCAACCAAACCACTCTTAGGTCCCCTGGTATTGTTGCTGTTTTACATAAAAAAAAAAATCCACCTACTGCTCGTATTGTTGCTGTTTTACATAAAAAAAAAAAAATCCACCTACAGGCCTCAGCCCCACTGGTGCGGCATCTCGATCACTTTTTGGGAATGAAGCAGTTAGCTACACAAGTCATTAAGGACAAGTGGCAAGTTTACCAGAACTTTTTGTTATTTCCAATTTCTAAAAATACTATTTACGAAAGCAATAATGTGGTCATGTGAAAGTCATCCAAAGTTAGTGCAGACAAAAGCAAATACAGGCTGCATAAGCCATAGGAAACACCCGAGTCTCAGACCTCACTCTTAACCATTCTGAGGGGGGGAGGAGCCTCTCTCTTCATAAATTACTAGTAACGCCCCCATGAACTTGTTATTCTTGTTATAAATGGTATTTTAATTTCTTCCAAATAATGAAATTGTTTTGAGACTACTAATATAAAAGTCAAAGTCTAAACTTAAAGGATTCTAATATCTGCAACACATCTCCAATATAGTAAAAGGAAAAAAAAAATCCTTATTTTCAATTCAAAGCAAAGCCAGAAAGCAAAAACAAAACAAAAAACTTTGAATTCCTGAAGTCATCTCTGTTTGTGAAGTATTTTTAAGAGAAGGCCAGAGAACAGGATATAAAATCTGTTAAAACTGGGACTAGCAGTTAACCTAATGACTATGTTGCTGGACTCCCACATAGTCGACCATGGTTCGAGTCCCGGATCCGGTGGCTTAAACTCACACCGGGCATGTATGCATGCGTGCCCAAGATCCAGAGAGGAGAATGGAGAAGGGATTGCAGCGTGGCCACCCCCCCCCAGGGGGGTGATTTCTCACTTTCTGTCTCTCTGTTTCTCTCTGTCTGGCGAGCACACACTCCCTATAGCAAAAACCTCTACCCCCCCCAAAAAAAAAATATATTAAAACTGGGACCAGCAGGGGGCCAGCAGATGGCATAGTATTAAAAAGTGTTGGACTATCACATGGCCAATCATGGTTAGAGTCCAGGACCTGGCAGCTTGCTTTCTCTCTCTCTATCTCTCTGTCCCTCTCTGATAAAAAAATAAAAAATAAATAAGGGAACCAGCAGTTAGCGTAGCGTAATGGCTATGTCACTGGACTCCCACGTAGTCGACCGCGGTTCGCATCCCAAACCCGGTGGCTTAAAACTCATGCCAGGCGCGTGTGTGTGCGTGCCCAAGATCCTGAGAGAATGGAGGAGAAGGGATTA